TGGGTTGGTCCAGTGGCACCCAGAGCCCCAGCTGCTGTACCACAGGCGTCCGGAGCAAAGCGGCGGAACACGCGGGCAGCGGGACAGCCCAGACGCGCCGTGGCTATCCTGCTGCCCTCGGGCTCCGCGGCTTTGCTCTGCTCTGCTCCCCGTCCCCCAGGTCTGCAGACCAGGGGAAGCAGGAGGGGGAGGGGGAGCAGAGTAGAGCAGAGCGGCGGAACGCGCGGCCAGCTGACAGCCCAGACGCGTCTGGGCTGTCAGCTGGCCGCGCGTTCCGCCGCCGCTTTGCTTCCTCTCCCTGGTCTGCTCGAGACCAGGGAGAGGAAGTGCCCCGTTCGTAACTGCGGATCCGACATAAGTCGGATCCGCGTAACTCGGGGACTGCCTGTATTCCACTTAGGAAGGAACGATAAGTTTCACACATACACAATGAGAAGCGATTGTCTAGGAAGGAGTACTGAAGAAATGGATCTAGGGGTCTCAGTGGACCACAAGCTAAATATAAGTCAACAGTGTGACACTGTTACAAAGAAAGCAAACATGATTCTGGGATGCATTAACAGCAGTGTGGTGAGCAAGACACAAGAAGTCATTCTTCTGTTCTATTCTGCACTGATTAGGCCTCAGTAGGAGTAGTGTGTCCAGTTCTGGGCACTACATTTCAAGAAAGATGTGGAGAAATTGGAGAAAGCCCAGAGAAGAGAAACAAAAATGATTAAAGGTCTATAGAAAACATGACCTATGAGAGAAGACTGAAAGAACTGGACTTGTTTAGTTTAGAAAAGAGAAGACTGAGAGGGGACAGGACAGAGGTGTTCGAGTTATGTAAAAGGGTCTTAGAGGGCAGAGGGAGAAAAATTGTTCTTGTCCTCTGATGACAGGACAAGCAGCAATGGGTTTAAATTGCAGCAAGGGAGGTTTAAGATGACCATTAGGGAAAACTTCCTAATTATCAGGGTGATTCAACAATGGAATAAATTGCCTAGGGAAGTTGTGGAATCTCCATCACTGAAGATATTTAAGAGAAGGTTGAATAGATATGTATCGTGCATGATCTAGACAGTGGTCGGTCCTGCCATCAGGGCAGGGGACTGGACTCAGTGACCTTTTGAGGTCTCTCCCAGTTCTAGTATTTTCTGATTCTAAGGAGTTCTGGTGCTCGACATTATTTTGACATTATTTCAAAAATAACGGCTTATAGTGTAGACACAGACTATGTTATTTCAGAATAATATTGCTGTTCAGATGTACCCTAAGGGGCCACAGGAATACTCATTTTCACTTGGTTATGTTGTATGTTTTAAAACTGGTTTGCCTAAATACAGGTTGAACCTCTGAAATCTGGGACTCTGGTCTGGCAGGACTATGGATGTTCCTGGTTCAGAGAGCC